CCCCCATATCCCCTTACCGCCCCCGGAGCCTCCACAGCCCCAGGTCGTCCCGTACCTCGATCAATTCCTTTTTATTATGCTTCTATTGCGCACTTCGCGATTCCCGGAATGGCGAGGCCGAGCCAGAAGTAAGAAGGAGGATGGGAAAGGTAGTATGAAGGAGCATGGGGGAGGGAGAAAGAGAGAGAGAGAGAGAGGGGGGGGGGAAGGGAGGCGCCAGGCAGGCGGCGAAGGGGAAGGGGAGGAAATTGGCGGGAACGATGGCGAGAAAGTTTTTTATCTGAACTGCAGAGCGCGCGGCACGGCTGCACGGCCCGCCATAACGCGAAAGAGGAACGCGCCATCGGTACGCCACGGGGGAGTGAGAGAGAGGGAGGCAGAGAACTTAGCAGCGCCGCCTAACTACAAACGGCTTCCACGAGTGGACCAATGAAAAAGACGTGGCAGCAGCTAACTCAGACTTTTAAACAGAGTGCCAATCCATTGCATTTGAAAATATTCAGAGAGACTGTTATTATTGAAAGGGTTGACCGAAAAAATTCCTCGTCGCAAATGACAACTATAGGAGAATCTAAGTGGACGCTTCAGTCGGCATTTCAGGAAGAAAGAAAGGCATTTGGAGAGGCGTTGAAATTCGCCCCTCGCGCTCCGGAGCCTTCATTTGGAATGAATTAAAGATGGAATAAGAGAACAATAAGTAAAGGCTGTAATTAAATCTCCGCTGGGAATGGAAATTTGAAATGGCATTAGGCCCAGGAGTTCGAAGTAGAGGGGGTGGAGTGGGGGTGGGGCCGTAGCGGGGGAGGGAGCAGAGGCGGAATGGAAAATGTTGATAAAGGGGATTTTGCTGCGCGCGACTCGAGAAAGGCCAACTCGAGCGATCGATTCGTTCGAGAGTGGAGCCGAGCCAGCGGACAGAGGGCGCCAGCCGACAGGTGCGAGCAGGCGCGGGGAAGCGCAAGAGATACAATACTGCGGGGAACTCAAAAGTCGGGACAGTGAATGTATGGTCGAGAGACCACGTGCCGTCGCGAGTGACACCTCGTCACGGCCACGTAAATGCAGTGCTCAGCTTACATTTTTCAGCTACGTATTTTTACCGGCGGTTCCCCTTTCACCCTCCCCCGCCTCTCTCCTCTCTTTCTCCCTCTCATGGCTCCACCGCCCGGCACACCTGGCGGCCGCGCGCCTGATTCCCATGTCGAGTGCTCCGCTGAAGTGCCATGATTTATGCATTACAGAAAAGTATTCTTACAAGTGTCTCCCTCTCCCCTTCCCCCCACTCTGTCCCGCGACACCCCCTCCCCCGCCCCGGTCTCCGAGAGCTCAGCGGGCCTGGAAACTGATTCGCAGAAAGTTTAAAGAGATATTATTCACTTTAAGATAAGCAGGGGCGGCGTTGCCATGGCGTTGCCGTTTGCTACGCCGGAGGAGCGGCGCACAGTACTGCTCAGCGCTGCTCAGTACAGCTCAGCGCTGCTCAGTACTGCTCAGTGCCACTCATTACTGACCATCGCTGCGCCGGGATGCTCAGCAATAACCATGCTGAATACTGCTTAGTGCAGCTCCAAACTGCGCCGGACTGCTCAGCATGGGGCATCTCAGCACTGCTCAGGCAGTACTATCCATCGCTGCACTGCTGCTCAGAACTGTGCTGCTCAGCTCAGCTGCTCAGCGCTGTTCAGCACTGTTTAGCGCTGGGTCGGGCTGCTCAGCAACGATCAACTCTGCTTCTCGCCTTAGCCCAGAAGGTCGCATGACGCAAAGGAGCAACTCGTGTATTTCTGTGTGCGCTGCGCGGGTATTTCTTGTATTTTACGTGTATTTTACTGGTATTTTTGACGTGTATTTCGATGCATTTCTGTGAATTTCTTTGCATCCTGCAGTATATTTTTTTTTGTATTTTTTTGATGCATTTTCTTGTATTCCCGAGGGGGCAAGAACTCCGGGAATCATGTGTACACCTGCCTGGGAATCATCAGGATAAAAATTGATCGAAATCAATAAAAACCGCTTAAACTAAGCGGGAAAGTAGAGCAACTGGTACAAATCGTACAAATCAGTCGAGATAAGCGTTTTCTACCACTAAATAACATCGAAAAAATCTAAGGAATGAACATAAGCGGACGCGAATCACTGGGAATCAAGAATTTCGGGAATCATGTGTACACTTCAAAAGGGAGTTATTGCCCCCTCGTGTATTTGTGTGCAGGTCACGTAAAGTTTCATAGAAGGGAAAAAAGAGTATACTCTCCTTTTATTGGCAAAGACAAGAAATATGGCAAAGACAAGAAATATGGCAAAGACAAGAAATATGGCAAAGACAAGAAGTACACTGTGAAAAATTTCTCTGTAAAGTTACGATATTTTTTGTAAAATCATAATTACAAATAGTATTGTAAAGTTACGACTCCCCTAAATTTCAAACTTTA